GAAACTTCCGGACGTGCCCGGGTAGTAACGCTCCTCCCTCGGAAACAGAGAACACGGCCGTCTTTCATCGGCCAATAAAATAAATCTTCTATCAAATCGCGGGATCCGCCCTTCTTGTAGGCGCGGATATTACTACGCGCGTCGCGATGACGTCGCGTCTGACTCTACGCGCTTGGCGTTACTCGCTCAGTAGTGTGAGCGGCACGAAGTCCCTACGTTCTTCACACGGGCTCTCGGATATCATAGGATCGTATGTCCCGCAGTTACCTCCCGAGTGGCTTTACCATACCGACTCGAAGTTACCATCGAATTGTGGTGATTGATTATCCTCCGAGAGACCGCGTATTATCCCCGGAGCGCCGTCATGACCTCCTGGGTAATGAATTGTGCCGGATTGTGAGAGAAATCTTTACAATGTCTATCAACACGCGGAATTGTGGCGAAATGTGGTACATTCGTATAAAATAAACTAAAATTAATATTAATTAAATGAATTGTGGCAAATTGTGGTAGAAACCACTGAAAATGATACCGACTAACTTTCATCGCGTGAAATGTGGTGGAAACTTATTAATTGCTTTGACAATGCATCTCTCAATATAATAAAGTGGTAAAACGAATTGAATCAAACTTATATCATCTTATATCGCACTATTTGTGACTAACTAATGTTAATTTCTTATTTTCAGGTAACCCGTCGGCTCTATTTTAGCAAAACTTATAAGGTGAGTATTTAACTCGTGAAATTGTGACTCAAACTGATTTTAAACGCTTTTTCTGCATGTTTCAGGTCCCTGTAAGTGGTTCGCTGCGGAATTGTGGTTATTATCGTCGCAAGTAAGTATATCTTTTATAAATTGTGATTAATTTTTATCATAACGCATTTTTATTCGCTTTTCGCAGGTATAAATCATGTTTCGACTAGAATCGAAAGTATACAATATAAAATATCGCGCTCACTCATTATTCATGCATATCACTCAGTGCGCTTACAAAATATAATGAAAAGTGGTAATACACAGTATCTCTTGAGCCTGTATAAAATACATTTTAAAAAAGAAACATAATTAACATCTTCGCAATATCTTGCGTAACATATAAAACTTATAAACTTGAATACATCATAAAACTGACTCGACATGCAAACGCGCTATTTTTCAAGCGACTTCTCTAAAACTAATATAATCAAGTCGTAAATATTGGCTAACGCATAAGCCCCGATAAAACACGCTATAAATGTGGCTAT